ATTTTTTTTGCCTTACGTGTCGTTTGTCTTCCTCTTTTCGGTTTTGACGATGTTGTGACTTGTTGCGTGGGGGACAAAAGAGTCGTGGACGGCGCGCTTGCAAACAGGTTCTCAGGAAAGCCGAGGGCGAGGGATAATACACCTTTGTCAAAGAGTGTGTTCACGCGTGCAAAGAGAGGTGTTCGGTCGGTCACTACCAACGCTGCTTGAGATGTCAGAAGCCGCAGGTGGCCGAATGGTAGCTTGCAATTCACGTATACAGAGTATAGACAGGTCGCTGGGTCTGTGAGAGGGTCACGGGGTCAGGAGGTACGGACTTCCCGCTGTTGTACCGGGTGTCTTGACCAAAACCTGCTCACGATAGGTCAGTTTGAAGCAAATGTAAATATAATGATTCCGGTAAAAGCGTATTCCAAAGTAAAGTCGTTGCTTCCGACCCCAGTCTGTTTCGTATTCGAGGAACGTTCGCACGGATGCTTTCCAGTAAACTGCTTTAAATGTACAAAGATGCATAATTTTACGAGCGCAAACCGCTCGGCCACCGAGCATTCAAAGACGGATTAAACGGCGCGGAAATGATTTCACCTGTAACCGAGGATTCACACTCAGGTGCACCTCTTTATCGAATCAACATACGTCGACCCAGCGTTAAGGATCTATCACCGACCATGAGGGAGCAAACGATACACCATCACGCTAGGTATTTCCATACGCGAGGTTACCCTTTGCTCGCAGGTTCGTTTCATTCAACTGAAGGGAAGGGGAGCTCCGAGCACCTGCGATCCAAAGTCGGGTCATGCAAATACCTGCACGCGATGAATAAAAAAAAAAAAGAGGGTTCGCGTCGGGGAGAAAGGGTTCACTTTATTCAGATTAGGGTCCCGTCTATGCTGTTTGAACGCCCCTTACGTAACGCCACTCGAACCTCTCGATTCTCAGCAAGTGCCTTTATCCTCCGGCACGCGTATCGTACATAAATATGACTAGACCACTTTTTTCGTCAACCCCTTATTTACCTGCGATCGAACTACGTATGCAGATATATCGATCGAAGAATTCGTTCTCGAATAGGTTCCTGCAATTCGATCGTACCATCGTTTATCGATTTCGTAAAAGGGTACGCGTTGTTAACTCGTCTGCAACCATCATTCTATATTGAATGTTATACATACTTCATTTGTTTATACGCGTCGCGTTAAACGATTATTTAGGCAAAGAATAAAAGCAACGTGCTGGTTGGTCGAATGAAAATTCACGGAATGCCCACGCGTGCTCGTAAACCTTCTCTGTATCCCGACTCCCGGAATCAGAGCGCGTAGATATTATTCGCGCCTCTTTCGTGAATTCGCGTCGGTAGGGGCGTCATTAAAATCAATACCGGCTCGCTCTCCGCTCCATCTCCCTCGACTCGGCCTCCCTGCCGCCGCGGCGCGGAGCGTCCCGCTTTCGTCTTCATCCCTCGACGCTATTCATCCTCGTCGCACGGCGTGTGTGTGCACGGGGGTAGGGGATGCCCGCGTTTCCTAGTCCCGATGTGGGAGTCGCGCGACGCATGGTGGGGTCGTCGGAGGGGACGAAGGAGGGAGCGAAATGCAGAAAAGAAGGAGTCAGCACGAGGGAGACGGTGGACGCGAGAGGGATGGAAACGCGATAAGAGGAAGGGTGCCCTGTTCGCAAGGTTAGGTAGCCGGTACACGCGATAAGGAGTGGGGGTGGAGTTCCCATGGCCAATAAGAACCTCTTTAAAGCGCCCTTTTTGCGCGCGGAACTGCGCATGCCGGATTCAAATCTGCTCGAGCCGGGTATCGAGTGGAGGTGGTGGTGGTGGTGGTAGCATGGGCGGCGGTGGTGGTGGTCGCTGGCTATATGGAAATATGATAGCGCGATAAAAAGAGGAAGAATGGCAGGGATGCTTGTGTACGCGAGGGAGAACGTGCGGGTGGGGATACTGCGCGGCTCCTACGACCAATAAAGGCCCAGTTTAAAGCGCCTCATTTTTTTTCTTTGCATCGGCACTGCGCATGCCGCATTCAAATGCTGGGAGTGGTGGGCTCGAACGTGTGTGTATGGAAATATGATAGGTGAGACGCGTATTCGAAGAAATGGCGCCCGTATCGGACGCGTCGGAATGGAATACTTTTGGGTTTCGCGAGCTCGCGATAAGGGTTGAGACTATTTGGAAAGAATGGCGATCACGATTTCTGAATATGCTCGCCTCGTCAAGTTAAACTTCAGGTAAATACGTAGCTCGTACCGAAGATCGACGCGTTCGTTGGGCAGATCTGTTCGTTTCCTACTGCGTGGTATCGAATCGTTACGACATAGTTAACGGTTGTTTACGATACGTATAAAAAGTTCAAATTATCGCGCGTCATTGATTACGTTTGAACGAATCTTTCAATGCGAACAGATCGTATTCACAACGATCCTATTGTTCAAAAGATCGTTCAACCGAGCTGTTTTAACCTGCGAAAGTACCCACCTGCTGTTCGCCCAAGATCCATCGAACCGTATAAAGCAGCATCCAGGTACCTTGATCTTCGAGGCACACCAAAAGTATATCGACGCGTAGGATCGTAGCTCAAACGGTCCATATCTTCCATCGATAATGTCTAAACACAAATCCGATTGATAACGAGAACGATCCAACTACCGTCGGATGACCATTAAAGCACACACGTTAAAGTACAGTAAAGGGTTAGGTGGCTCGGCGCGAGAGGCTTCTTGCGGACACTTCTCTAACTAATTCCTCGCTGACCATTACACTCTTTTTCCTTTCGTTGTTACGAGCGACATTACACCGTTTGAAAAAAGTTCGAGGGCATAGCACATTCTACTTTTATCGTTTCGGTCTGCACTGCACGTGCAACCGTAACATGTATGTATAAGTCTTCGGAACTCTATATTCTAACATTAATTATTTTTTGTAAACGACTACTCTCTTCTGTTCACTACATCGATAGGAAACGTTATATTTCTAGGTTCTTAACAAACGTTAAGGTTCTCGTGCATATCGAAAACTCTTGCCATACTAAAAATTTATATCCGTCTACTTCCCCAACTATTCGAGCCGTGGAAAATTTTGCGCCACGTTATTACTACCTGATTATATTAGATATCTGGTCGGTTAAATCATTTACTTGTACAGCAGTGTCCTCTGTGCACTAATCGCTACGGTCGCGCCTTTTGTTTACACGAGATTCCTACGCAAAAGGCGCTCCGCTTCCACCGCGTATTTATCACCGATGCTCGAGGCGTTCGCAACGACTTTTTTACAAAAATCGACATCGCGTGGCATTGAGATTTGTCTAAAGCCTCTAATCGTGGCCACGACTTGGACAGAGGGGGACAAGGTGAATCGCGATTGGCCGGTTTTCTCGCATATGCAAATGCAAACTCACCTTCTCTCCCTCGGTCGGTGGTTAGGTTCGCAGCGGATAGTAGCCGGTACACGCGAGGTAAAAAGGCGCGCTCGCGCTCGCGAGCGGAGAACTCGCCTTTCCTCGCCGGGCGGAGCCGCGCGTGATCCGCGTTCCCTCGCGATTGGAGGCTCGGTTCCCCACCGACGCCGCTCGTTTCCCCACCAGTCTAAGCGTCCAGGCGTTCGTCCGCTGCTTTCCGTTCCGCCGCGGCTCTCTTCGTCGTTCCTTCGGCGTTTCGATCGGTGGCGCGTATCGCGCGGTCTCTGTCGTTCCTCGATCGACTCCCCCACTTTGCGTTCCACGGTCCGCGTACGCGTCCGCGTTCCCCGTGGCCGGTAGGCGGCCGACCGGGCGTACGTGGGCCCTCTAGTGTAGCTGCACACATGCACGCGACAGCATCTGACCACCGTACCAGCCGCCGCAGCCGTAGCTGCCACCGTCGTAGCTCGTCGCGGATGCTCGTGTGCCTGCGATAACGATACATCGATCTTACCGTTGTCCCGCTCCTCGAAATCCGACTCGATTTCGCTCGCGGGCAGCACACGGCGCACGGTGTCGGCCTATGACGACAACAGACGGTACCAGCACGTGACGTTCGGCGGTTCCACGGGATACGGGAGAGTGAGTGCATTTCGCGACGGTTTTCCATGGGGATCCCGCGATTCTGACAGTTCCGTCGTTCGAACATGCTCGCGCGCGCCGTGCCGGATATCACGGATACTGTTCGCGAGTTCACCGATGGGTGACGCCGCGTCGATGACAGCTGAGACAGAGAGACACTGACGGGATCGACGATCAATCGCGGGACTCGAGAGCCGCGGCGGTGACAGAACGTTTGACAGTTGGCACCGGTGATCATTTTTCGAACATCCGCGTGGTCCGTTCCCGTGTTCGTCGCGTGACAGGTGAACACCAGACACCGAGGGGCTGTGACCGGTGCGACGTTAACGACGATACTCGCAGCCTGTTACCGTCCAACGTCTGCACGCGTCGAGTGTGAACGAACTCGAAAGGTAGTCCCGCGTACCGAGTGCCTAGAAGGTGACCGTGCTTGACTGGGATACGAATATCTGTGCGCGTTAATCAGTGTAGTGTTGTATGTAATATACTGTGATACCTAAGGATAATAGACGTGAACAGGATCTTGTCTACGCGTTAAGCAGAAACGTTTGTCGGCGTCGAAGGTGACGAGCGACGCATCTGGCATACCAAGGATTTGCTCGTGATAAAAGGACCCAGCAGGTGACCACGTTGGATCTCGCGGCGTTGGCTGCTTACGGGGGCGTCTCGGGTCCCAGGGTCGCGGTGGCGGGCACCGGGGTCCTCGCGCTACCCGGCCTGATATCCGACAAGGGTTTATCATCGCCCGGAGGTCAGTCGAAAACGAAGTCCGCAGGGCTGGCGGGCCTCGACAGCGAGGCGGTGCGCCGGTGGGTCGCCGAGGCAACGCGGACCGTCCGGCAGATTCCGCCTCCGGTTGTCGTACCATCGGGTTCTCACCACCATCACCAACAGCAGCAGCAGCAACAACAACAACAACAGCAATCGCAACAGCCACAACAACAACAACAACAACAACATCAACAGCAGCACAGGCAACAGCATCATCATTCCAGCCATCGGCAACGCCAGGAGCACAGCCCACCCTCGGTGGGAGCCTCCCCTTTCGTCTTGCCGTCGTCGATGACGCAGACCCCCAGCATGCATCTGCTGGAGAACAACAACCTGGTGGAGGTTGCGATGGCCCAGCAGCAGCACCAGTCTCAACAGCAGATGCAGCTCCAACAGAAGCAAAAACAGACAAGCCCGACGAACAACAACACCATCGAGGCATGGAGATCCATCCAGGGTGGACACCAATGGTGGAGTCCGCCTACCAGCGTTCATCAGGAGCAGCAGCAAGTGTCGCCCATCGGGCAGGTGGCTCAGCAAAGCCTCGTCGCTGGCTCGGTGTGTGGACAGGTCCAAAGACAGTCGCAGATCCAGTCTGAAATCGATCAGCCGCTGGACTTTTCGGTCGGTTCGCTTCAGCAGCAAAGGCTGCATTCGCGCGTGAGGACTATCCACGAGAGGCTGCAGAGTAGGATGCACGATAACAACAATGGCACCGGCGGCGTGCAGAAGATCGTACGGGGTACCGGCAGCAGGAGAAGTTACAGCCCCAGCGAGGGTAGCAGCAGCAGCAGCGAGGACGAAGGAGTTTCCACTGGCGGCAGCCCTTCAGGACCTCTTCGCGGTACCGAGAACGGTGAGTTGTATTATTAAAATTTTTCACGGAATTGGCGGTATATACGCAACCAGCGAACACGATAAATTAGGATGACGCAATCGTATTGTACAATCATGTACAGATTAAGGTATTGCAATATAATCACGTCGATCTTGGAACTGGTCTTTCTCGTTAATTGGACTGTTACTTGGATTTGACGAAATGCTGACTAAAACGACCGAAAGCGTTTGGATTTATCGCTTAATGTTCAACCACACTTTAGGAGTCGGAGTGGGATTTGCTCCGTATCTTTTATTATTAGTGTTTATTTTATTCTTCTGTATCGATCGAAGACGTAATTACTGAATTATAGAGTTAACTAGAAACGCTAAGTTAGCTTGTCGTAGGTGAAAATTTGATGTTACATCCCTTAAGAATTTCCATAATTCAGACGTCTTTCTTATAAGTTTTGTCCATAACGTTTTTCTTCTTTTGCTTGAAATGTACAACGATGAACGTATTATCCGTACAATCGTGTGTATACCCATTAGTTTGAACAATGGAGGCTATGCTATATACGATTACGTATTTTAATATTTCAGAAAGCTTATAAAAAATGAAACAGTTTATTTCCATGTAACCCCTGTTGTAATATTTACTCTTGTTAGAATATAATTTACCGAGTTTGTGCAATCTTAGCGAGTCGAATGAACCATGCACCGGAATCCAGCGTGAAAATTTCGAATCCATTTCTTGTCTAATTAAACCAAGAAAATTGTTGAAGTAATCTTAAATTAAACGCGTACCTGTAATTATATTGGGTAAACGAAATATTTCAAAATTCAAGTCCACGCCAATTATTGGAGTTTCGTTAAAAACACACGTGTCCTAAGGTTTTTGAGCAACAAAACATATTTGCTAGAATTACAGGTAAACCGTTTTCCTGCATTTTCACGATTACTCGGTGCAAACGAGTCGGACGAGTCGAGAACTCTATTTCCAGAGCAGTGTTAGATACATTGCCTTCCCAAGACTACATTAACTCGTGACCGCGAAGGGTTGGAGCACGCGATTACGAACCTTTTAAACGTCCTCTCTCGATTTCCCGAAAAGTTGGCTCAGTAACGAAATCGGAGATCGAGAAACAAACGAACGTGCGTCATGCCAGCCGCTATTTGTTCGTACGAAACACGAAACGATCTCGTGCGTTTTCGGGGTAAACGTGGCGAGCGTTTCGATCCGTCAGCTGTCAATGGAGGCCTCCCTTCGCGCATTCGACACCCCCGCGCAACCTTGCCGTGGCTTTGTTGTCCCAAAATGGTTGCATTGTGCATTCGTTCTATTGTAGAGACGCATGCAACCCCGGGGATCGCGAGAACGCGGTTACCTGAAACGACTGGGTTTGTCTAGCAGCGCTTACCATACGCAAAACGCATGCCAATTGTAGCACGCGTTTTACGATGGGAAGGCGAGTTCCCTTTTAGAAGACGTTCGTTTCGCTCCGCGTTCCTCGTTGTTCACGATCCGCGCCGCGATAAGGGGATTCCTCGTGGATAAATTCGCGCTGCGTTCCGTTCTGCAAATGCTCGCGCGCGAAAAACATTTGTACTTGAGAGAAAAGGCATTTGTCTGGCATAGGGAAAAAAAGAGATTTATTCTTTGGAACAGGCATGTCAAACTCATTTTTGCCCGGGGGCTAATTTGCACCTCGCTACCATGCCGCTGACTGCAGATGTAGAATCGTTTTACGGCAACCAAGAATATTGCATACCGGCCAATTTTTCAGTCATTACACCGTCATATTGCAGTCAAACGTGTGTAGGACCAAAAAGAAAACGATAATTCCCAAGGAAATAAGCAAAAAGTTACATCCATTTATGAAGAAGCGATGTATTAACCCTTACAGTGCATCGTGTCGTGATTTGGCAACATTCCAATATTTTCTAATTAGCAAAAAATAATACTTATTGCGCGGTGTGTTCCAATGCATTCTTAATATCGATACTTAATACATCGGCGTAAAAAGATGGTTCGCACCGTTCTTCGGCTTCGAAGTCTCCGTTAAGGAATCGGTTTGCAAAATGTTGCGTTCATTTTTCTTTAATTACGATTCGAGCGAGAAATCTACTTTTCATGAAATCGATACGTGTCACATTCTTATCGGTAACAGGAACGATAAGGAGAGTATTCAGTGGAAAGGAATAGTGGCTATTCGTTAATTGAGTGCCGTACTTCATGATCGCGGCTTATCTAAAAAATCTGCCCTTATCATGCCTGCGTGTACGTCGATCAAAGTGTGCCAGTAATTTACGCATTATTAACTGCTTGAGTCATTTTTAACGACTGCTATCTACAGTGACTTTTGGAGCTAAGCTTTCGAGTTCGATTTCAATTTCTAATAATGTATTAATAGCTATCAAAATTTTGTAGAAACATTGTTCCTTTATTGGTATCGCTATCTCGAAAGCACAATTTATATCGAGACACAAACACATCCTCTCTTCTCACAGTTAATTTAGGCGGAACAACTTATAGGAAAAATGCCAGTCGTATCGTTTATCAAAATGGAATCTTTCATTAACCACGTCTACCGCTTATTATCCTCGCAAATGTGAACTTTGCTCAGGGGCATTCTTTATAGCTTCTTGTGGTACCATAGCGCGTCGACGTTTATTAATAAAGTCGTGGTTGTAACAGAATTTTTAATTTGCCCGGACCTCGAACACGTGGACAGCCACGCAGCCAATGGACGAGAGCATGCAATAATTAAATCTCTGCCTCGGTTCCGACGCAACGATGAAGCAACGAGCGCAGCGCGACAGGTTGGAAAAACGCGGCTCGTCGGGTTGTCGCCGATAAATCGCTGATTATTCCGTAAAAACTAAATATTATTGTATTTATATCTACCGATGCGTCGAGTTATCTGTCGTGTTTATTATCACGGTGTCATGTGTGCCGGGCCGTCGCGAGCCGCGATACCGCGAAAATAAGAATGATCGTAATTAAAACGATACCGCGGCACCATTATCTGATCCTAAACAGCCGGATCTTTATTAGTTTCAATAAAATGCAATGTAAACAAGCTCTATGGAATAGCCTGATAAGCCCGTAATGCGCTACGCGGCGGAGAAAAATAACTAATAATCGTCATTGCGAGGCAAATGCGAGTCTTCGGGGCGAAATGTAAGCATTATTCACCGCGATAAAGCGATACACGTTCAATAGTAATCGGGCGTCGAGTAGTTACGCGATAATCAGCGATAGTGCGGGAAAAGTGAATACGGAAAAATTATCTGCGATTTCGTATCGTCGATAAACCGCGCGAGTATATTACGATTAATCGACGGCCAATTATGGTCCTCGTGCTTTCTCGGTACTCGAGTACACGTCGCTATCGAGTATAGGTAATTGCACTAATATTCAAAAATACAACGGCAAATAAAACGGCGCGCAGCCCAGCGGGAAAAATGTTGGCCGATATCGTATCTGCCGATAAGGTCTTAGCTCTAAGGCTTGTTTGAATAAATATTCCACGTAAGCGCGTGATCGCGCGGTTATTTTCGATGAGCGACGCGATACGACGAAAAATGAATTTTTCGAAGTGAAATCGTAGAGTGCCCCAGATAATGTCCGTCTTATATAACGTCAACGTAGCCGATTTCGTTTCGTGAAGTCTCAGCCAGCGATTCGGTCAGCTTATTTACCTGTCGCGTTGCTGTCGCCGACAGTGACATTCTTTTGACACGGTTTTTTTCGTTTCCGTGGCTCGTTATGTAGCCTAACATTCGCAGTACAGAAATTTGATTAATGATCAGTATTCTAGCAAAGACAGACGTTTTCTAGGCGATCGTCTGCGCTAGCCAAACAAGTATAATTACGTACGTGGTAAGGTCCAAAAGTACTCGACAGATAATGCACGGGCACGAGTAACCAATATTGCGTTATGTTTCTCCACTTTTAAGACACAAGAGGCTTGAGTTTCATATTCATGCTATTCATTGTGTTCGAGTACCTACTTGTAACGCGATGACGATGCCGCGAGCCATGTCGAATATGGAGTATCATGCTGTAATCAAATTTCCACCCAAAAAAGACAATACACCAGTTGAAGACAAACCACGTTTTGATAATGCTTATGGTGATCCTACAACTTCGTTTCCCACGATTAAACAATGAGAAGAATTGTTTCGTGCGGGAAGAGGAACTCTCGAATATAATCCTGAAGAAGCAATTGGACTTATGAACAGAGATGGGCAAAATTCTTTGACACTCGAAAACTTGCAACACCCCCATGACGATCCATCAATTGTGTTGATCGTTATCCATTTTCAAAATTGAAATTCAGCCTTGGAGGCAAAGAGGATGTTGAGACACAAATTAATTCTTAAATTGGAAAGTATCATAACATCAAGAGGCATGCATAATATCGAGAAAGCTACTATTACTAACATTAGAAACGCCTTCATCAAGAGTCTCTGCAACACTCGTACCAGTAGAGAAAAGGATTATACAGGTGGTCTGACATAGAAAAAAGTATTTAATTCTAGATAACTAAATATATATCGTCTCGTCTTATAAATATGGATAATGGAAGTTTTACGCTACACATATGTATCGAAGTGGAAGAAAGACTGTACCAAACAATAATGCTGAATTCTTTACTCTGCAAAACATCTTTTATGGTTAGACCGAGAACTGTTGGGCCTTACCGCGTACTCAGAGACGTGCCTCTTTCTTCTCGTGTTAATATATGTTCAATATGGGAGAATATAATTAATCCTGGCAAGGAACACGCGCAGGACGGAGCAGGCTTATATCGGAGATGGCCGATTGCGGTTCACGAGGCCCAGGGACCTGTTCTCCGCCGGGGCCCTCGTGTATTACGGTGTAACGTGATACGCGTTTGATTCTATGTTATTTACGAGCAGGTGTACCACGCAACAATGTTTATCACATAATTAGATTCTATGCCCGCGCAATCTCTATCGCGCGTTGGTCAGCCACGGGGCCCCGTATACGTTGCTGGAAATGACGTTTCG